GTTTAGGGGAAAAAAAGAGAAAGAAAATAATCACATATACTTCCAAAGATAAGCAATAGGAAGGATAAATCCTGAAACACTAAAAATCTCCCATTACATCCCATATTTGGAATGGAAGGTAGTACCCAAACCAATAGGAATACTTTCATCCATTTTTAAATAGGTAAAAATCTTCATCACTTGTAAGATGCATTCTGCTATAAGAGAACAAAAGCAGTTCTCAAATGCAAGGAAATATTAGTCCAAAGAGTACTGCAAGCCAATTAGTGGGTCTCAGCTTTTTGGATAATTGCTCTCGGAGGACGCCTTCTTGGTGTCCATAATCCAAGTGCACCACTACTTTGCAAAAGGTCAAGGCAAAGCTAAACAAGTGATAAAGTGCTCTTATAAAGGCCAGTACAAAAGCCCAAAACCTCACTTCTTATTTTCTTACAGAAATAAATGACTAATGTGAGAACACTGGAAAAGGCATTTGAGGATACTCTCTGATCTAAATAAGTGCCAAAAAGAAACAGTAAGTATGGTATTAAAAAACCCAGTATTTATTTACATTCCATTTACTTTCGAAAGCTGCAGAAAATATATTTATAAGGTAAGTAGTCTCATTTTACTCAACCTATTTGTATTTTTCATGAAAACAACAAAGATCTAACTTAGAATCAGAGGTCTAAGGAGACCCAAAGAATTTATCCAGTTCAACCTTCCATCTTTAGCTAAGACTGAAATTATACAATGGCAGGCAGATGGAAATCTACTCCACTTATAGGTAAACACCAGCTAATATATCTGTTATGAAAGAACCAGCTTTTAATAAAATCTGTCCTAGCATCCAACAAATCTGCAATAGAAGACACGGCCATCATAACACAGGACATTAAGAATTTTTGTACAACATTGAAAAATGAAATTTACACAGGAGAAATCATGATTGACTACTGAGTCAATAACATCACAGTAACAGTATCTACTGCCTTTCTTATTCAAGTTATATATACTATTTTCAAGATTTGGTTATAACAAAGACATCAGTAACTAGGATGTACACACAATTATTTTATAAATACCATGAAAAGCAACAATTAAAAAGATGAAAATACTTTACCCTTAAATCTTGTAACAATTACAAACATTACCATCATGTATCTGACTCACATTTTTTAACTGATTTGTACACCTTTAAAAATAGCATTGAGTTTTATGAAAATACTGATAATGGCTCAATATTTTTAAAAAGTCAGGTAATCTTCATCTATATTTCAGTAGTCTACATTTTATGCCTGCCTTTCTTCCACCACCATAGTCCTTTTCTTCTAACTACCCATTCACTCAAAACAACGATGACAACAGCAGAGGTCTCCAACCTCTGCTGCTGTAGAAGTGTTACATTCGAAAACTTCTAGTTCTTTGAAATGGTTGGAAAGGCTTTTTTAGTGCCCACATTAACAGCTGTGGTTTCGGTTTGGGTTTTTCAGGAAACAGAAGTGCTTCACTTTCTGGTGTAGGAAATCGTTCTCGGTAGACTTCAGGATAGGATTTCTGAAACTGAAAAAAAAAAGGTTCAAGAAGAGTCAAAAAAAAAAAAGGCCAATAAAATTGGGCAGCCAAATTTTAAAATAAGAGTTTCTGATCCCATACTTTCCTGTTCCTGTTTTTATTTTTGTTAAATACTGTTTTTTTNAAATTTAAACATAAACATATTAACTAAAATAATTCAAAACAGTTATAATGCTGAACGTACACTGTGAACTATCCAGGCTCCTGCCCACAGCTGGAGCGTCTAATTCTCCCTCCCCTGGGGATGGACAGAGGCATGCATTTAGCTAAGCCATTATGTAGAGAGAGGTACTACAACCACCCATAAATGTTTTACTATTGAGAATCAAGTGAAAACAATAAATGTGCAGACATTGCACATGGCAAAAGGGAAAAGGAAGAAATAAGAGGAAAAAGGAAACCAAGACCAATAAATGTTTATTTATGTGAATAAATGAACATCCATTCAAGATATTTAATTTCAGAGTCCAGAGTCTTTTAAAAAATATAGCACCCTACTGTTCTACTGCAATGGATAAAATATCCAGAATATACAAGGAACTCAAACAACTTGACAGCAAAAAAAAACAAGCTACCCAATTAAAAAATGGGCAAAAGAGCTGAATAGGCATTTCTCAAAGGAAGACATACAAATGGCCAAAAGACACATGAAAAAAATGCTCAACATCACTCAGCATTCAGGAAATGCAAAAAAGAACCACAATGAGATATGGAAAATGGTATGGAGGTTCCTCAAACAACTACGGCTAGAACTGCCATATGACCCAACTATCCAACTGCCGGGTGTATACCCAAAGGAATGAAAATCATCATGTTGAAGGGATACAAGCACTCCCATGTTTATTGCAGCTCTATTTGCAATAGCCAAGA